GAATATTGAAATTCGTCAAACAAAAGTGAACCCTGACGGTATATTTCCATAGCCCATAAAGTTGTTACCAGTAGTATTTTTCAAATTGACAAACATATCCAGTCACACATTTTGTGATATATGACGAATATTTTCATTTCGTTAGGTACGTGTACGCATGCATGGTTTCGAGGAAGAACAAATACTATGACCCACATATTTAAAATTGTCGGATAATGAGGATCGGCGGTTAGTGTGTGACAGTGTATCATTTTGTTGTTCATGCTATCCACCACTGGATTCGGTGACTGCTATGTAGATTACACAGCTCCGGTAGGGAAAGGTTCACAGTTGTTGTCTTGTTTCTCGTACATTGTAAAGCCAGCCTTAAGATACTGTCTGTCATGTAAACAACCACGGGAGGTAACTCTACATTCCAGTTACTGCTTGTCCAAATCTGGCGCCCGTTTCACGAAGCTCTCTTAGCGCTACGACTATCGAAAGTCAGTGTTACAGTATAGGAAGTACAAATGCACTCACTAACAACGACCTGGCGATGAAGCCGTCCCGGGATTTTCAGTGGCTGTTCCTCAACGATTTTAGTTCTATTTGTAGCCGACTACAAATTACATTCATTAGTCAGTTCGCTCACTATAGCCTGGAAATCAATTGCACAAATGTTGGAATCGAATTTACCACGACTTATGTAAGCCCCCTTCACATTAAATCTGGCGAAATGGAGTAATGCAGTTAAAGATTATGCCCCATAGTGTATACCCCGTCTTACAATGGTCCGTCACGTCGTGCCTGGTCGTGAAATAATTACTGTCCTGCTGCTCCCGCAGAGCAGGGGTTGGAGGGCGAACACTGTCTTGGGAAGAAGTATTGATTAAATCATATTAGTTTTTTTCTGTTTTTTTTTTTATAAACTTTATATTCATCCCATGGCATATATATGAATAAATACTGAATATGAATATAATACACATGAATTATTGTTGATACTACACCTGTAATCTACGCGAATGCAGAAGCCACAAATCCGTGTCTGTGTAGTTGTAATGACGTTCCCACACTATGGTAGGTGTGACTTTAGTTTTACGCCGCTCTCACCAATATTCCAGCTTTATGGCGGCGGTCTGTAAATAATCGAGTCTGGACCGGACAATCCACCGATGGAGCCTCTAACCGATGACATGTGTCAACCAAGTCAGCGAGCCTGACCACCCGATCCCTTTAGTCGCATCTTACGACAAGCATGGGTTACTGAAGATCCATTCTAACCCGGATCTTCACGGGTCCCATTACTCTCAGAATAGTCATATCTGATGATAGACTAGAGTAGACTTCGTGTAAGTAAGACCTCCCTTGATCCACATACAATCACATAAAATGCAACGACATTATCTTTTTTAACATTTGTTCAAATAGTGATAAAATAGACCCAAATTTATGTCCATACACATATACAAATGTAACCTAACGGATGTTCATGCCATCAGCCACTCGTTTGTACACTCCGAATTTGAATTCACTTACCATAGCTAATTACTGTTACATAACTACATGGCGTTAAGTTATTCGCGTTTACATGGAATTATTTTGAACCATGATCGTGTCAATATAAAACCTATGTTTTTGTACTAACCGATAATAGACTTTGGTTCCTTTATATATGGAACTGACTCTCCACTCTGTGAACTGAAGGCGTCGTTGTTTTCAGTAGGCAGTGACAACTCCCGTCTCAGGTCAGCAGTTAAAGTCACCATCAACTGCTTTGTTAGTCAATTTTATGGATATTAAATAGTGTATTCGTCTGTGCGCTCTTCTCAACGTTTAAGCAGGTAATCGTCTTGATATTTGTGTCGTTTGTTCGAGATATATCGGTGTACACTCGGCCTATAGTAATTATATGTCATTAAGTGGTGAATCATACCATTGATATGCGGGGTATCTGTTCACAAAGCGTATCGGCGTTCCTGGTCGGTTTTATTCTATACACAGTAATTACCTTTACGCACTGAAACCAGACTTTGTATATCCATGTGTTGTTTTAAAACGTTCAGCAAATATTCACCGGGATAATATGTCATATCAACCAGTGAAGATCCAAGTTAGAATTGATCTTCAGTAACCCATACTTGTCGTAAGAGGCGACTGACGGGATCGAGTGGCCAGACTCTCTGAGTTGGTTCACACATGTCATCGTGTCCCAATTGCGTAGATCGATGCTCATGATGATGATCACTGGATTGTCTGGTCCAGACTCGATTGTTAACAGACCGCCGCCATATAGCTGGAATATTGCTGAGTGCGGCGTTAAACAACAAATAACAATCGTATCATATTACCGCCCTCTGCAATACGCCCAGTTACATGACGGCAGGCTGTAAGAATAAAGTCTTGATCACACAAGCCTTGATCATTAAGAGTAATGCCCCACCCATTCGGGCACACTGACACGTATCAGTGGAGACTGACCACCGATCCACTAAGTCGCCTTGTACGACGAGCTAGGGCTGTTTGGGACCACGTCGAATACAGAATCCTAATGGAGGAAGTGTTTGTGTCAGCTTGACGTCAAGGATGTCCTGTGTCAGGACATTACTCGACATTTGTCAACATATGATCTCTGGGAGACAGGTCAAGAGATGCGGGGGAGAGGATACCACCGACCTGTCACCAGAGCGGTGTGGGGGGTTGGGACACTCGCTCCTCACGGACTGTGTTGTCATGTGAGCGGTAGACAAAGGCTTAGTATCTGAATATATATAATTTTGATAGTAACAAACAAGCCCATTTAAATTGAAAAGGAGCCCTAGGGTGACCAGAGATTCAACCTGGACCTGGGGAAATCTAGACGTGCTTTATTTAGGGCTTTAGCACTGCAGAGAAGGCTTAGCAGTAGGGAAATTAATGTGGTTCAGGGACTGTGAGACAGACTATGTGAGCGTGTATCGCAGGGTCCCTAAACAAGATGTAGGCATCGCTGGTCGCCTGTGGAAACAGGGAATGGAAAGACTTATACTGGTGAAATATTCTCGGTGTCTTATATAATAAAAAATAAAAAATACCAGTTACATCATTGGTAAACATCTATCGAGAATTATCATCCTTGTTATATTTACATTAATGAAGGGGGGTGATTATTATTTTGATTTTGAGTAGCATGACAATAATAAACATGATTCAGCATTGGGTTAGTGAGTGAATGAGTGAGTTTGGTTTTACGCCGCTTTTAGCAATATTCCAGCAACATCACGGCGGGGGACACCAGAAATGGGCTTCACACATTGTACCCATGTGGGGATTCGAACCGGGTTTTCGGCGTGACGAGCCAACGCTTTAACCACTAGGCTACCCCACCGCCCCATTGAGTTAGTGTCTACTGTTAAAATGTCGCAATGTTCCGTCGCTGCCATGGCATATCCATGTGGAGCATCGAACCCGGACCTTTAGTGTGACGCGTGAACACTTTCACCACTAGACCACCCACACCTAAGTTAAATACAGTGATTGCGATGATAAAGATAGCAAAAAATACTAATGGATTATGATTATGATGGTGATGCGACGTCTGGAATGATGTCGATGACAATAATATAATAGTTATAAAGATGATATGCCTGTGCATTAGAAAATATATATTTTGATCGAACTTACCGCAAACTCAGACTCTGATGCTTTCTATTAAAATATTGATTGACGCTCTTACGTAAATACTTTCTCATCAGCAACCTAAACGTTTTCTGTCACCGAACCAATATGAATGTACATAGGAAAGAGAGAAACATACGCTCACACTAGTAACTCATTATAGTCGAGATCTCATTTCACGCTCCGCTCTGTCGCCTGAAGAGGACAGACGTAACATGAGAGGGACGGAACTCATTCATGCAAGGGTCTATTCAAACCAACACGTAGCGTTTTGAGACACGCTCAATCCAGAACTTAGGTACATGTCTGTCTGGCGTGTAAAGAGCCCCTCCCATTTAGTTGTCAATCTCGTATAAATCGCTCTGCAGCAATCTGTTTACCGTCAATCCAAGCACCTGGGTTATTTCATAACTAATGGATTTACTGTAAGAAGTAGGAATGCATATGACCCTACTTCTCGGGTTTAAGTACAAAATGCCGAACTGACAAATCCATATTTAATAATCGATTGATCGGGCCTGGGAACAATACTTACGAGACCCCAGATGTATGTTACAAAATCTCACATTGCCTCAAACCTATTTCTCAAACTGACAGGTCTAAATTGAAGACATATGTACGATTAATTGCTGCCACCGGACAGTTAGGTCATACACACTGGTCAATCGGTCGACCCGATCAATAGTTCAAACCCACGGGCAACTACGAAAACTTGTGAGGTCTCTAGTTTGGTGATGAAAGCCAGTGTCATATCAGATTCGACAACTTGTAATACAATTATGTGATAGGCGTTATGGTGTGCAGTACCGCTTGATGCGACTCAGACGTAGAAACGCTTCTGGTTGTGGTTTGTACCCCGAGGCAAGCGAGAACGCTCTGGTTAGCCGAGCGGGCACGTTCAGTGGCTAGCCAATTGGATTCCCTTACATCAGGGGCTCCCCGCTCTGTGTTTATATAGTGTTACTTATACATAACTGGTACCCACAACAAGTACAGCATGCTTGTATGTTCCGTGGAGGCGTGAGAGGCTTTAAGCCAAGTGGTTGTCATATCCGTTCTTCGCTGGATGAGACATACACGTGACTTCGAAGTTGGAAACATTTTAGAACAATGTGATGGTTCATGTGAAGGATTCAGAGGCACCGTTTTAGTGACGATAAACGTTTCTTATTGTGAAGCGGAAATCTGTACACTTGGATGGTGATGTTATACTCATCACTATATCGTACATTACAACGTTCGTGTTACTGCATTGTGTAGAGTCATTGGCCACGACACTGCTAACACAGTCATATGGAGGACACTGCACTGACACTGTTTAGAGTGTGTCGTGGATAACGTTATTATCGGCCTACACACACTTTGAAGTATTGAATACATTGGAATGGATAACTGTGTTTTATTCACAATCAAGGATGTGAGTGATATACGGTGTAAAGGATAACGGATAACACTGATCAAATGATATATTGATTACATGTTCAAGGATTAATGTCTTGTAAAATTGATAAAGGGATATGCCGTCCACACTGAAAATTAGTGCATTGTAAAGAATTATAATGTGTTGATTAGTGCATTGTGAAGGGTAACGTGGATCTGATATATACAGTTGAAATGGTAACTGATTGTTCGCGTAAGGGATATCCGTGTTTTACTCCGTTCTTTGAAAACGAGGATGATATACCGATCACACTCAGCCAGGATATAACATTGATATACTGAGGATATAATACAGATATAACAGTGGTATTCTTACAACAGTGTTACGTTATAACAGTGATATACAGAAAGCATAGTAAGGATATAAGATTGATATACTGAGTGTCAAACCTGGATATAACATTGATATACTGAGTGTACAGTACGGATATAACAGTGATCTAGCAAGGATATCCGGATATAACAGAGACTGATTATGGAGAAACACGTGAAGAGCTACTCTCAGATTTATGCCGGAAACTGGAGCCATGGTCCTCATGTCGTCTCCCGGAGGACCCGTGTCCCACCCCTGGTGAACCTCACCCCCAGGCTAAGGTCCCTACAGCACGTGGAGACAGTGGGGTATCCCCTATACGTCATATGGGACGAGAGTCCAGTCTCGTCAGATCAAGGTAGGCTCAAACTATACAGGGGATATTGAGTGACACGTCTTTGAAGAATTTAATTTAGATAATCGTGTTCTGAAGAACATTTTGCAAACAAAGATATTATTTTTATCAGTTTTCTTCTTACTGGCGCAGTTATTAGTTACATAAGTGACAAATACAGGGTCACGGTGACAAGTTCTTAATTTAGCTGATACGCCTTTTAACTGTAATAGCCTTAAAGGCGGTTTCAAACTCAGCTCATTCGCGTTTAATTGATTCACGTCCTCTATGACCGAGTGCTATAGAATAACAATGTATTGCCCCATGTGAAGTGTTTATGCTGCGGAATCACGTGAGTGGTAAAAAGTTAATTGTGGTTTCAAAGTTCTTCAACTCCCCTGAATTCAAATTGTCTCACTGTCTGAATGAGACCAGCTCGCTGATCGCCCCGTAATTGCTGCTCAAATCCTATTCACAGCTTCACCGATGCTCCAGACACTGGGTAGCTCTCTCCCCATGTTGATATGACACAATATCAATTAGTGGTGTAACGATTCATCAATAATATCAGTGTTTACGTCGTCAACGTGGTACGAGTGCATCGATACAAAACACATTTAGGCAATATGTCAGGATATTTACATCGCGAGGGTCCATGATACATCGATGTATCGCCACAAGAAACGATATATCCCGATACAACTTAAATACCACTTAAAGGTGTAAGGAGTATTGCATTAGGAATAGAAAAGGAGTCTCTTTGAAATTCTTCTGAATTTCAAAAACAAATTGAACCTTAAAGGAATTTGTTTCTGTCTGTTTTCTTTGTTACATGATCAAAGGAATTGGTGTATAAGTCAAAGAGTGTGAACATTTTACTAGCTCTGTGAACTGTAGAATACTTGTCGTCCAGAAATTGAAATATGCAGATATGTTTTAGTTGTTTGACAAATAACACCATTAATTTTATTAACAACTATGAACGATGTCTTAGCTTTGTTAAGAATGGGAACAAGGAGAAGATAAAATTTAGACAGCAGAATTAAGAGATTTTTCAGTGATTCTAAATTTTGATATAAATTACATTGAGTTGTTGTGAAAGCATTGGTGCAGAAACTCAGCTTCACACGGGAAACGTCACTATATTAGATCAAGGTATATGTTTGACTGTACTTTATTAAGCATTAAATGCTGAAACTTTATTAGATGAACAACCTTTCAAATGTGTGTGAATGTAACACAGGTTATACTGTATAACAAATAAAGTTTCAGTCATTTTATCTACCATATCTGTTCTGTTATTAGAAATTGTAAAGTATCGGGATACGTATAATATCGCCACCATTTATCGTGATAATCGTCTCACAGGTTCCTTGCCAATACTTTCATGATATATTGTCTCGCCTCATTAAACTGGTATGTGGTATGTCGTAGGCCACGATACACAGCTCTAATATCAATATTGACAATCTTAATGGATAACAGTTTCTTTTATTTCGTGAGTGTGATGTGGCAATACACATCCTTGTACCGTTGTCAGGCAGAAGTAACATGCTTCACAATGGTACAAGAAACGAAAACGTTGCACACACGAAATAAAAGTTGTTATCCATAAGGTTTGTCAATATTGTACCTCCCAACTTCTAAAGTGCCACTCAAATAAGTTACAAAATATCGTTACTGTTACAACAAAAACTGAAGTATTCTAACAAAATCAGATGATGTTTTAACAATATTTTCGCATTATACTCATGCCAATAATGGTTGTCACCCCCTTCCATTTTTTTATATTGGAGAGGGGGTGTGGGGGGTTGGGGTGGGGAGGGGTTTGACAACCATTATTGGCATGAGTATATTTCGACATTAGAGCATCCAAATTATAAATACAGTCCAAAGTAGTTATATTCATCAGTGGTATCTGGGAAACAGTATCTTGATGTGTATGGTTGTGTCAGCCAGGATCTCACTTCCTTTTCTTCACACCACCATCACTAAATCAGACCGAGTTGACTGTTTTAGCGGCACACTAACTCTCTGTACCAACTGACACTCTGAGTTGGGCATGGTATGACACCTTCAAACAGTCTGTGGGATAAGTTATGATGACAGCCCTGTTGGTTGTGTGTCTGGCACTATCATTACGTGTGATAATGTACGACGAAAGCACTTGATGTCATTTTTTATGATGACAACCGAGGTGTTGTTTTTGCTTGTCGCTGTACATGGTATATGCATCATAGACACTGTCAGTCAATAATGACATTGCTATGTGTTGTGTAGAACTCTCTAGAACAAATTAGAACCACGAACGTATTGGGGTATCCATAACAGTAAATATAAAATGACGACGACGGCGATGATGATGATGATGATGATGAGGAGGAGGAGGAGGAGGAGGAGGAGGATGTATGGGTTCCTGCTCCGACTAGTGTTTTCCCAACCTGAGTTAGACATAAACAAGACCAATGAACCCCCTCATCAGGTTCATATATAGATCTACACATAACGTGTAGGGGGTATAAAGTATCTTCGGGATTTAAGACAAATGGATAACTTTTACTCTCCAAGAGTGAACTTTCCATTTATGTTGAGCAATATTTCAGCAGCTCCAGTTCTAATGTCTCCATTTAACAACGTTTGAGGTACAAACCTTGACTGGTCAAAAGTTTGTGTCTTTTATCTCTGGAGAAGATTTCAAATTGGATACAGTAGTGGTCGAAATTATGTCCATTTCAATTCCATATTTTGAATTCAGGGGATATTTGACTTGCCCTTGCGTGTGTTTTTATGGATGTCATCGGTGGAACAAGTAGGACTCCTTTGCCGTGCATCTGTCAGCATCATCATCATCATCATCATCATCACCATCATCACTTTCATAGTTACCCATAAACATATGCTCATTATATAGTCGGCCTCATTAGATTTCTTTTGATTGTGAAATTCAAATGATTTGGTAACTATATTTATATTTTGAATGAAATCAGATAATAATCAATAGAAAACCTTGGGACCTTTTGCGTTGTGCTCTTATAATTCACTGCATTAAAACTAAGACCGTTACTTTTGTGTTTGAGTATATTAATTCATAAATAAATATAATGTTTATAAACAAATAGACGTATACAAGACCACGTGGGTGTATTATCCTTTCTTTATGGTACTTCCTCGAGGGCGTATTTAGTTCCTAATCCCTAATCCATGTCCAGTAATCCGTGTAAAGTATTTGCATATATGACTGTGGTAACAGGTAAAACGCCCCTCGCGTCTTACGATGAACAGCTGTGCCGCATATCTACAAATCATAAGCGAATAATTGTGGTAGGGTCATGCTTGCTGTACATAATCTGATAATCTGTTATGTCGTATATATGATTCACGTGTGTACCGAATAACCCTCGAAACAATTCGTCAGATATTATTTTAGATTGGACATGAGTCAATTCCGACGTGGTGATTACTGTCGATAACAGCAACAGTTGTGATTTCGTAAACATGGATCTATTGGTACGTGTGATAAATATGCACCGTATTCATACAAACGTATTGTCTTAACCTTCTGAAGTTGATGGTGGAGCTGGGATGGATATTTGTTCTACCGTATTCACTTCGTGATAGTATATGTTTCAAGGTAGGTGTAACTGTTTGTTGTATCCGTTATGAAACATGTGCAAGCATATAGCACGTTCATGTAAATGGTATGAATTTCAGCGTGAGTTAGTTGTAAACATGTTACATGTTGTGTTGTAAAGTTGGTTGTGAGTATAAAGTTACATTGATAGAGAACAAAATATTTCTTTCAATATCAGTTTTATATCGGAACTTCAGTTGTGTCGAACAACGAATAGCTCGATCAATTTATAGAGTCTTTCTTGTACATGGTGTTACGTGGCTTTTGATAGAAGGTCATGAAGTGCGATATGGTTTTGCGTCGCATGCAGGGATTAATACACATATACAGAGACATCAATCTGTATCTCGAAAGGATATGCAGGTGTGTATGCATGTGTGTGCGTGTGTGTATGCATTGTATGCATGTGTGTGTCTGTTTGGCTAGCTTGAACTAATCCGGACTAATTATAATGCCGTGTAAAGGTGGTAGCTTATGGAGATATCTGGCCACAGGTGAGCATGGGTACCCCCTCAGACACACCGTACTGACTGCGATCCGAATTAACTGTCCTTGTAATATTTCCGTAATGTCAAGAGCTTGGCAGAGCAAGATGAAGTACAACATTTAACATCTTTTAGTATGGTCATGGGATCAAACACAGACCTTCAGCTGTCAGTGCAGACGCTTTATCGGCCCCGCTGACTGTCTGAATGTTGATGATTTCGTTTTGCGTTTGTTGGGAGAGAGGTCATCATTATCTTCAATTTTCTCACTATTTCCTTGACCGAAATTGAGTCCATTTCAGTGATAAAAAAGTATTTATGACCACTTATTCGCCCAATTCAATATATACAACTTCGTCTAAAAAGAAATTATATATAACGAATTTCCCTTTTTCATATAAAAAAATCTGTATTTCATTGTCATGACAGAAGCAGGAAAGCAACATTGTGGCTTTATTGTTTCTGTTTGTTAAACTTCTTGAATATGTTTCGCTCCAAAAGGTTTTCGTACCGATTCAGCACCCGCTGAACTACAAATCAGATTTGATCCACGTAGCACATATGTTACATGTTAATTGTCTGTTGTATCGTCGACCAGAACCATGTATTTTGTAATGCTTGTTCGTTTTTTCACTGGGTGCATCAACTGAAACTGTACAGGGGGATGAGATGCATAATATAACATAGCGATGTCGATGAATCCCCGATACGTCAGGCACGTTGCTCATCAACATCTGGCCTTGCCTGTATCAGTAGAATGTAATTTGTTGACAGCTGTGTGACACTCGGCCTCAGGAACACCATGTTCATTATGAAACACTTTAAACCTGACCTTTGACCTGTTACTTTTGACGTTGACCTTAAGTCAGTCTGTTTTATGATTACCGATCTTCAGTGTTTAATTATAG